GTTGCTGTCCTGGAGGTGGAAGCTACTGCTACTCGGTCGGCAAGGGCTTGACGAAAACAGCTGCGGCGGGTGGAATTCAGACTATCAACGAAGGACTCAATGGACGGGAATTTGCTGTCTTTCGCCCTGGGCTGGGGAGGTCTTAACCACAGGTTTGGCCAAAGCCAGAAGTGGCGGACCAACTCCTGCAGCTAAACTCCTGGAAAAACCGGGCATTGTTGTGGCAAATCCTGCAGAGCAAAAGATGCCCAACACATGATGTGACACAGGGAAGGTCGGGCCGGGTAGCAGTTTCGCCACTTTTCTTCACATCGAAGTGCAAAAGCACTGTCCCCAAGGGGGTCTCCTTGCAAAACCGCGTAGGGGTTGGACTCGCCAGTCGTCCTGCTCAGAAGCCGAGAGCTGATGGAAGTCTGCGGAGGTTTTTGCAGGCTGACACGGTGGCGCTGCCGTCGCTGCCGCCGTCTGTAGGTAGCCGAAGTTGCCGCAAGACCAAGATTCGGCCTGCGTCTTTCCGGAGAGTTTCTTCGACCTCTGCAATCTTGGACTTGATACTGGCATAGTCCAAGAAGTCAGCTGTCTCATTGTTGAACCGACCATCGAAAGTATCTTTGTAAATAAGCTGACCCAGCAACTCTGTGACCAGACTGACGGACTTAGGAGAACCCAAAACCGTGGCCGAAGCAGCCTGAATAGCCTGACTGAAGAATGCTTCATGCACATAGGAACAATAGCACACAGCAAGCCAGGCAGGCGATTCGCTTGCCTGGCTCACCGTGGGCTTTGGTACCTCAGCAGCCAGAAAAACAAGCCATGGCGGAGGGTACTATGCGAAGTCGTCCCGACTTGGCATAATAGCCTCCACCATTTCTTTGCTTGCCTTGAACCCTAAGCCATGGCGGCGGCCACTATGCAAAGTCGTCGACTTGGCATAATAGGCGCCGCCATTGTTTGCTTGCCTCAGACTCTACCAAAAATAGAACACGACGACGCAAATGGAGCGCGCCGAGAAATGCAGCGCGTAAAGGGTCTCGATGTCTGAACGGGCTTCACGAGGCTCAGCAGAGTTTTGTCAGAGTAAGACCGAAATGCATCGAGGTCGCGGCGATAAAGTTGCATCGCGCTCTCCAGTCTGACAATACGATCATCGAAATTGTCGCAAAGTACAGACAGCGATCCACCTGCTGACAGCAAAGTTCAGAGCTCGAAGCACTGTTTGAAGAATGGAAAGCACTTGCACTGCCAGCTGAGTTGGAATCAAGAACCATGCAACGAGAGGCCTGCTAAAGTTGTTGCTTGCTAGTTGTTACAAATGTACATCAAAACTGCCGCAAGAAAGCTGCGAAAAAGCCATTATTTGGAGCATGTTGCAAAACGCATGTTTAAAGCTCTGCACAAAAACTAAAGGCTGAGCTAAGCTACATGCTGTGTTAATTAAGCAAAGCTGGTGCACGCGTGTCTTGGGCCAAAACGTTGTGTTTGGAGTGAAGTAAAGTAAATCATACATGAGTAAACACATGCAATGCGCCGCAAGTGTAGCAACTGTTGTTGCCGAGGGCTGCTTGCGCTTGCGGTTTGTCGCACGGCGTCTGCGAGGCTCCTTGACTGACTGTGAGATGTCGTTGAAGACACCGTGATCTCTGATTGTTTTCAAAGCTTCGTGAAAACGCAATTAAATGCTGGTCATTGCATTCACTTCCAGCAGCGTCGTCAACCATGAGACTCATTGTCTCCATGCGCGGCNNCTTGGCCTTCGCTTTGGCCATCTTAGGAGGCATTGCCGAGTCAGCCAAACTTGGCCGAATCAGCCGAACAGTCTACTTTCACGGAATCTTATGATTTGAGCCCGCTGCGGCTGCGCGTGTAGAGTGCGAGGAAAATCAAAACAGTATTCGGGCAGACCTGTAAGACTAAGAATTAGGCTTGACGGTTTAGGGTTCAGGCTAAGGTTTCCGACCCTTTCATTTCCTTGAAGCATTTACCGCGCAATTGCACGTGCTGTTGTTGGGTGGTTTTCGTCATCCCGTGTGCCCTCACACTGACAACAACCGTTTTAGAATTTTCCCTGCGTTAAACCCTGGGACGCTGAATTACCCTACCAACAACAAAAAGCCCTGTGAGCTGAGTTTTGTCTGTGAAGCCTCACCATTCGTCGTGCTGTTTGCACGGCGCTTTGAGCCACTCTGCCCAGCTGCGCGCTTGGCAGCATTTTCTGCAGAGCCGCAGCTGGCAGAAAGCACCAGGCTGGTGTATTGCGCAGTTTGAACACATTACGGTTTCCAAAACACGGGCGGGCCGAGGCTCGGAAGAGACCTGCTCTGTTTTGTGCTTTTGCACTCTGGCTTGCTTTTTAAGCATCCATTGGGATCCGGCCCCGCGACCCTGCCAGCTCAGGCCTGACGACGAAGCGGCGGCTCCACCTGCGGCTGCGGCTACTTGCTCCTGGACGAAGACCTTCATCTCGCTGACAGCTTCTCGGAACTCAGCCCTGCTAAGTGGCGCTGCTTCCTGCTTTGTGTTGTGTGTAAGCGCGGCATCGGAATGTCTTCTGCTTTTTTCTCGGCTCGTCTCCTTCTCGGTTGCGGGGTTTGGTTTCAGAGAGATCCTGGGGCTGTCAGCTGGCCGCTTGCTTCCCCGGCGATCGGCCGAAACAGCCGAGCGGCGGTCTCCGGCCGAGGCATCCGGCCGTTGACGTTTCTGAGGATTGGCTTCTGTCGTCGTCGAAGCATCCTTTGGCTTCTTTGCAACTGGCGGCTGCCCAGACTCACTGTGCCTGCGATCAGACTTTTTGCCGGGCAGCAATACCACCATGGGCTCATCGTCGTCGGACGATGAATAATATTCATAAGAAGACGAGTCCGATCGCGGGGCTGCCTTGGCATTCCCTGCTGTCTTCTTGGCCGTTGAGGCGCCTCCGCGCTTTGCAGCCACAGCAGGCTTAGCTTTGCTGGGCAAGACAGGCCTGTCACCGGCGTTGTTAAGTTTGACGACCTCTGTCGACGGAGCTGGAGCTCGTGTCTCATCGGCCGAAGCAGCCGCGCGAGCATCAGCAGTTGAAGGCGCTGCCTGAGCAGCCGCTGCCGGAAAATCCTCAGCAGTGGCAGCTGGCGCTGCCGGAGCAGCCGCTGCCGCTGGAGGAGTCTCCACCGACTCTTTCTCGGCCGGAGCAGCCGATGACTGCTCTCCGGCCGAAACAGCCGTGCTCTTCTCTACTACTTTGCTCTTGTTGTCAGTTCGTGGCGGGGTCATAGGTGAATAGTCTGGCAGTGGAGTCGTGGGCGAGAAGAGGTCGTCGCTTGGAGTGTCCTTCGCCGCGGCCGAAGCAGCCGCTGAAGCCTGCTTCTCATCGT